TGTTTCTTGAGTCTCGTTACTAACTACAACCGATACAACATTTAAAGCTGTATCTTCTTCTGCAAAATGGAAAGCTTATCCCATATTAACCTTTATTCAATTATTTCTCAGTTAATTCAAGTTTCTAGAACTAACCCTAGATTTCCAACAAGGGGTTCTGAAAGGCTTATTTAATTAAAGTTTATAAACCACATCTAAAGCCTGGGATGAACATTCCTAGAATAATGCAGAGCAGTGATGCTATGAATCAAAGCACAGCTACTTTTGTTCGTTTCCTGTTAGCTTCTTATCACAACAAATCCTGTTCACTGCTATGCTGGGATCGAGGGAAGCATTATCTTGGCCTTTGCAGATCACTTCCAGCTCAGGCTGCACTGGTAGCAACCACGTTTTGGCTATGGGATTTGTTCTCTTGTTTACGCAAATAGTGACCCACATCTACATTTTAAAATAACACTTCTAGAAAATTAGGGAAAGGTAATTAATTGCCATGTAGGAACTTTGTTCCTAAGTCGCTTTTGAAAACAGAATCTGACTTCAAAGGCATTTAGGAACCTGGAGAGGCAGATAGCATTTATCTGGGATAACTTCTGGGATTTTCAAACTGCTAAAATTAGCAGGAGATAAATACCTTGATACATTCAAGCTCTGGAAAATCCCAGTCGATGCCTGCATTTTTAGGCACTGTATTCCCTCTGAAAGTCTGGCCCCACAGAGTTCTAAACTTTATTAGGAAAAATAAAAAATAATTTTAAAATTAAAAAAAAAATAAATTAGTGGGACTAAAGCATTCAAGTGACATTTCTGAATTGCATTTTTGAAACATCTACCTCTAAAAAGAGACTTCCAAATAATACAAGACGGGAGGCAACTCAGCTATTACTAGTAAATAAAGGTAAGGCAAAGAAGAAAACTAAAAGAAGAAAAAAAGAGTAGCATACATTGCCCTGAGGAAAAGCTTTTAAGACAGTAATAGAGCCACAAGGAGTTCATGGTTTCAAATTGCTCCCACCACCAAGACTCTAAGTATAGTTCTCCTGAAATTTCACAACGTGATGTCACAATAAAAACAAAATCAAGAAAACTAACTGAAACAAGGTAAAATGGAATCTACCACAAAGAAGAGGAAACAAAGGAATGACGTGGTACAAATCATCCATCAGCAGTGTCAATACTGTAGCCTTACCTATCTTCTCCCCAACTTCCAGAATGCATATTCCTGATTAAACAGAACTATGGAAAAAAAGATTTTACTATCTTTAGTTTCCTCCAGTAGTATTCTGCAGACACTCTCATTCATTTCACTGGAGCTATGGATGGAACATGTTCATGGTAGTTAAACCTATCATAACACAGGTCAATCAAGGCAGTTTAGCTCAATTATGCAGGCAGGTAAACATGCCATCCAATTTCAGAGTTTTATTACACTACCATAATGGGACTTTTACCTTAATGAGAGTAACTTACAGCTAAACACCTCATAGAGCAACACAAAGAGATCTACAGGAAATGGCAATCGGGATCTGTCTGCTGAATTTTGCAGGTAGTGTTCATTGCAGCAAATCTTCCACATGCAACATATTCATGGATAGAATTTGTCCTATACAAGACAGGACAAAGTGCTTATAGATTCTCTATCCACAGGGGAAAAGGCATAACTAAATATTCTTAGAAAACCTTTAATTATAAGGCTATTTACTGTTTCCTAAAGTGAACAGCAGTCTGAAGATAAATTATAAGGCTGCATGGGCAATTTTAACACTAGAACTTCTTGACTTGGCATATTCAACTCCAATTTTCTGATGATGATGATCCTTCATCTTTGAAATTGTTCAAATAATGTTAATTTCTTTCTTACAGACATTATTTAAAAGAAAAAAAAAATCACTGAAATTCAGCTTCTTTACACAACCCTTCAACCTTTTGCTGGTTGCAGCAGACACTGTGTCCAGGAGAAGGTAACAGAACATCTTTGACTCCTTTCCCTTCACATGAGAAGCTGCAAAATCTTTACACTACAAAACAGTAGAGGAATGAGCAACCTCCATTTCCAAGGGCTCACATAACAGTACAGCCTGACACAGGGTAAGGACCTGCAGCTCTCCACCGTGAGCTGAGGAGACATTCTGCCTCAAGAGAGTGCCTCTCAGATCTCAGCTATGCCTCCTGCTACACACCACATGGACTAGGACATAATTCCACCTTGTGCCAGTTGTCCTCAGGTGGGTGCAAGGGAGACAGGCACACAGCCCTTCTCACTACTTTCAGGTTGAGGCATCCCAAGGGCAGCACTGAAGGCAGAGACCCAGGCTCCATGCCCTGTTAGTCCCAGGCACTGCTGTTGGCACAGCTAATGGAGACCAACCCCCACAGCTGCTAACAGCACAGTTCTAGGAAAGGAACTGGTATGGCTTCAAATCTGAGCACCATTTGATGCTGGAGACACATACACAATGTGTCCTTCCTTGACTGTAAGTGTAAACCACACCTACATGCTATGTGTTCCCACCAGAATTAGTTTTCAAATGCAGCTGCAGCAACTAGTAACAGTGATAGAAATCAACACAGATGATGAGCAAGCTGTGGGTTTGTTTGGTTTTCTTCTTTTCAAGACAGGAAGCATTTCTTTTCAAGTCCACTTGTACCTCAAAACGTTGACATCACTTAACCTAACTTAGCCATAAAGTTTACCGTTGGCTATAGCCTAGGCCTAGAGAGCTGGAGCTCCCCTGGAAGACACGCTCATTTCACAATGCTTCAGGGATCGACGACAGCGCACTGCAACAAACACACATCAGGTACGTTTCTGCCTCAAGATGCAGGGCCCGCTAACTTCCTGCTCCTGAGGATACACCTTTAGTAACCCAGACACACCGCTTACACCAGCGGGACGCCAGAACCACGCTGCAAACCCCGGCCCCCGAGCAGGCATTTCTGCAAAGTTCCATCCCCTGCACTCTTGGTGATGGGAGTCCAAGGGGGAAAAAAAAAAAAAAAAACCAATGAATAAAATCCTTGGTACCTTCCGCGACCTGACCACGACCTGAGCAAGAACTCAGGGCACCCAACACACAGTTTTGGAACGCAAAAGAGGCAGGGCAGACACCCGCACCGCCGA